GACTTGGGAAGACTACTAGGTAGAGCTTTCTTACAATAACCTAACAATAACGTGTTGTCAGAGACTTGGGAAGACTACTAGGTAGAAATTTCTTACAATAACCTAACAATAACGTGTTGTCAGAGACTTGGGAAGACTACTAGGTAGAAATTTCTTACAATAACCTAACAATAACGTGTTGTTAGAGACTTGAGAAGACTACTAGGTAGAGATTTCTTACAATAACCTAACAATAACGTGTTGTCAGAGACTTGGGAAGACTACTAGGTAGAGCTTTCTTACAATAACCTAACAATAACGTGTTGTCAGAGACTTGGGAAGACTACTAGGTAGAAATTTCTTACAATAACCTAACAATAACGTGTTGTCAGAGACTTGGGAAGACTACTAGGTAGAAATTTCTTACAATAACCTAACAATAACGTGTTGTCAGAGACTTGGGAAGACTACTAGGTAGAGATTTCTTACAATAACCTAACAATAACGTGTTGTCAGAGACTTGGGAAGACTACTAGGTAGAAATTTCTTACAATAACCTAACAATAACGTGTTGTCAGAGACTTGGGAAGACTACTAGGTAGAGATTTCTTACAATAACCTAACAATAACGTGTTGTCAGAGACTTGGGAAGACTACTAGGTAGAGCTTTCTTACAATAACCTAACAATAACGTGTTGTCAGAGACTTGGGAAGACTACTAGGTAGAGATTTCTTACAATAACCTAACAATAACGTGTTGTCAGAGACTTGGGAAGACTACTAGGTAGAGATTTCTTACAATAACCTAACAATAACGTGTTGTCAGAGACTTGGGAAGACTACTAGGTAGAAATTTCTTACAATAACCTAACAATAACGTGTTGTCAGAGACTTGGGAAGACTACTAGGTAGAGCTTTCTTACAATAACCTAACAATAACGTGTTGTCAGAGACTTGGGAAGACTACTAGGTAGAAATTTCTTACAATAACCTAACAATAACGTGTTGTCAGAGACTTGGGAAGACTACTAGGTAGAAATTTCTTACAATAACCTAACAATAACGTGTTGTCAGAGACTTGGGAAGACTACTAGGTAGAAATTTTCTTACAATAACCTAACAATAACGTGTTGTAAGAGACTTGGGAAGACTACTAGGTAGAGCTTTCTTACAATAACCTAACAATAACGTGTTGTCAGAGACTTGGGAAGACTACAAGGTAGAGCTTTCTTACAATAACCTAACAATAACATGTTGTCAGAGACTCGGGAAGACTACTAGGTAGAGATTTCTTACAATAACCTAACAATAACGTGTTGTCAGAGACTCGGGAAGACTACTAGGTAGAGATTTCTTACAATTACCTAACAATAACGTGTTGTCAGAGGCTTGGGAAGACTACTAGGTAGGGCTTTCTTACAATAACCTAACAATAACGTGTTGTCAGAGACTTGGGAAGACTACTAGGTAGAGCTTTCTTACAATAACCTAACAATAACGTGTTGTCAGAGACTTGGGAAGACTACAAATGTACTAGATAGAGATTTCTTATTATTTGACGAAAGGTACGTACGCTTGACGAATCATACGTAAGACTCGTTTTAGGGATCATTCATTTTTACATATTTATTAACTTTCAAGGGGGGGGGGGGGGGGGGGGGCTATAGTATTTATTCAGTTTCACATTTGTTTCCTGCGACCGCAAACGTCACATTACTTTTTTTATCACATTTAACCTTGACATTAATAGAAAAAAAAAAACCCAGATTTATTTCACATTACTTTTTCAAAATATTGCAGGATCCTTGTCTTGCAAATCTCGATGATCCACGTTGACAATTTGATGATAGTATACTCATTAAAAATAAAAATAATTGTGAATGTTGTCGTTAAATTTAGAGTATATCATACTTCAATAATTTCATTAAATGTAAATGGTGAAACGCATCCTTGAACAATTCCCGCGCAAATGTGTGCAATCGTGGTTAACATATTAAGTAATGTATTGGACGAAAGTGTACTTGAAACTATTTTGATTTGTTTTCAGATAAGAATGCTGTTTTACCGGATAAAACAAAGACGCTAAGTGTTATCGTGAAAATATAATACATGCTCCCTTTACGTTCGTTCGTACCAAAAGCTCTATTAATAAGACTTGTCCCACTAACTGTGGTCTAAGATTTTAATGTAAACAAGATTTTTTTTCCTACGATTCTGTGTATTATTTTTATTGAAATGACTGATATTTTAAACTATATTATGACGATTTGTTCACCTTTATGTAGAGGCCATGTTTTACAATTAGGGATAAGGCAAGGTATCCTCTACAAAATCTACATCTTGTAATGCTGGAGAACAGACATGTCTTTTCACATGCTCTCGTCTTTATTTCAGGGATTTTGGTTATTCATAATTACCGAATTTGAATTTTTATCCTCAAAATGTTTTTTTTCTTGTTGAATTCAAATAACGTTCTACGATTATCAGACCAAAAAAAAGAAAATTTTATCACAGAAAAAAAATGAGTTTTCGTTTCAGTTTTTTTTAATATGTTTTACATTATTTTCGTAGCTTGTGAAGTCTCTGTTCTTGCATTATCGTAAAAAGTTCTGTTTTCTTTTCTTTTTTTCAATCTAACAATAATTGAAATGTTTGACATTTACAATCGCCATATTCTCATTATCCTGATAATACCGAATGTTAGGTACTACAATATAAAAACACCCGGATGTTACCACAAAGGTAACCACATGACTTCGGTAAACCTCGATTCTGTTTGAGAAGCTTCGCAATTAATGTGCAATTAGTTATTTACAGTATATTGTGAGCCTCTGATATAAGATATAGTATTTGAATATCAGACGTTTATTATACTCCTATGTATGACCATCAGACACAATGGTTCCGATATCTTGAATTTAAGTGGTAAATTGCTTCGACAGTTTTACGGACGTTATCATGATTTCATCGACCGTTAAAGAATTTCTTTGTCATAGATGAGCTCGGATAGGTATCTCTTGTCTTCACCACAATCCTGTCGGGTGTCCTCTTTTTCTTAATCGTCACATTACCGAACCCCATTGACAACTGTATATAAAATTAAGAAGATGTGGTATGATTGACAATGAGACAGCTTTCCACCTGAGACCAAATGATGCAGAGGTTAACAACTATAGGTCACCGTACGAACTTTAACAATGAGCAAAACCCATACCGCAAAAACGGCAAATGTAAAACAAGTCAAACGAGAATCGATTTGATTTGTTTACAAACAATAAAACGAAAAACAAATAACAAATAAGATATACAGCAACAAACAACAACTACGGAATTACAGGCTCCTGACTTAGGACAGGCACATGCAGAATGTCATTTATTACTGTATGTTTACTAGCAATCAGTAGCACGACAGTGCCACTAGTAATGTCGGAGTTTTCACTGAGTTCTTCTTGAGTTTTTGTTTAGTTATTGTTGTTTGTCTTTTGACTATAGCGTTTTCTGTGGAGAGTTTTTGTTTAGTTATTGTTGTTTGTCTTTTGACTATAGCGTTTTCTGTGGAGAGTTTTTGTTTAGTTATTGTTGTTTGTCTTTTGACTATAGCGTTTTCTGTGGGGAGTTTTTGTTTAGTTATTGTTGTTTGTCTTTTGACTATAGCGTTTTCTGTGGAGAGTTTTTGTTTAGTTATTTTTGTTTGTCTTTTGACTATAGCGTTTTCTGTGGAGAGTTTTTGTTTAGTTATTGTTGTTTGTCTTTTCGTCGTTTTATCTTTTGACTATAGCGTTTTCTGTGGAGAGTTTTTGTTTAGTTATTGTTGTTTGTCTTTTGACTATTACGTTTTCTGTTTTTGTTAGCCTTATCTTATTCGTCCCTTTGGTATGTTCTATTTCTTTATAGATATAAGTCGACATGATAGAGAAAATCGATTTTCTGTAAGAAAGTTGCTTTTTGAATCATCACTTGCGAAACAGCCGTGCTTTGCCAGCTTTTTGTCAGCTTTTTTCAGACATTATTTCACTCTCGACAGGCCTGACAATATATATATATATATATATATATATATATACTGAAGGTAAATAGGTCAATTTCATACACGGTAATAAGGGACCGTTTGTACTCCCAAAGGAATCAAAACAAAGTATTGTCTTTTAACAATTACGAGCAAACGAAAGAAAAACGTTCAAGGGAAAAGGCCTCTAGTTAGTGTTTATTAATTTATCAATCTTTCTCTAACGATAATAAATCACGAATTTGCGCTGTTTGAAGTGTGAACGGGCGGGGCTTTAAAATTGCCCTTTGAGTCATTCTTCCTTGTATTGATTTATTGTTGTTTGAATGTTCAATGGAAAATAGTTCATGCATATTCAAGACAAGAGAAAAAAACTGGTTAACGGGGATGACGTACATGAATTTGGACTGTAGTTTAAAAATGAATGAATGCTTTGGTAGGAGTAGAACATGTGCCCTGTATCCGATTACCTACGGATCCATCAATGCAATCTTGCTATTTGATATTTGTTATTGTATACAGAGCTTAAATATCTCCTTACAAAAGGGATCGGATTTAAACTCCCCAATCCAATCGTACGTGGCTATTTTTTTTATTTTGGGGTCTTTTATAGCCGACTATACGGTAAGGGGTTTTCTCATTGTTGAAGGTCGTACGGTTGCCTATAATTGCTAAAATCCACTTCATTTGAACTTTAGTGGATAGTTGTCTCATTGGCAATCATACCACATCTCCTTATTTGTATATTAGTACTTATACATTCTGGATAACAAAATGGACGCCTTTTTTTGGCATGGGATCCATCCCTATGGGAGAAATCCAGGGATGACAAAACATCAGTCAACCTTTTGAGCGCTCTTTATTTGATACGGGAGTCCAATTCTTCAACTGGTGTATAACATGAGCAAATTCTATAATTTCAAAACTTATCCAGATTAACTCTGAACTGTTGACTCGTTTAAAGTCATAATATTTAACGCATTCAATTATTTACTGGTTTATTTTTACTTATTAGGTTATACAACAACAGATCAAATCAGAAGTCACGAACTCAAGAACCACAGTTTGCTTGGTAAGAGTCATTCAGATATGTACCGCAATGACAACGAATACAGCAGAAATTCCGGAAACAAATTCATTGATACGTTAAAAGGTGTGTTGATTCGAACACTTAAGTCCTTGAATAGATATAACAACGATCTTGCTATTTATTTTGTTCAACACCATCCGTTTTTGGCCAAGACATTCAACCAGCTGAGCAATCCTTACAAAACATATCCTTCAAAAAAGCAACAAGAAGAAGTATCTTCAAAAAATATTGGTTCGCTCAAAAAAATGTCAATTAGATTATCCGAGTTTCAAAGAATTCCTCCAAAAAATAAGAAAACAAGGTTATCTGCCGGATTTAAATCGAATAACGTAAAAGCCACTGAAATTGTAGCAGATGATGTTATAGTAAAACAAAACGTTCACAGAAGTACTGCAGTGTACGGTGACAATATCCACAAGGGTACTAAAAAATCACCACAACAAGCCTCATTCTCCTTCCATAAAAAAGGACCAGGAAGTCAATTTAAATTTTCAAGTTGGAGATCTGGGAATAGCAGGCAAACAATATCAACCAACGCTGATCAGCAATTTATAGATTCTTATCGACTTAGAAGACATTACTTTCCATCTCGACAGATAGCACCAACAGCGCTATCTAGACAAATACAGACAGTCTCTAAATCAAAGTCACACATGCTAGCTCCTATTGAAAAATCATATTTTAAACACAAGTTTAAATATCCCGCAACAGTACGATCTAGTGAAACTAGACCTGCTTTTTCAAAACCAAATGAAAAAAAACAAAAAAACATACCATCAAATAAAAAAGAATTAGAGGAACTTTGGGATGATTCATGGTCTGATTCAGACTCAGAATACGAGTACTATGACGATGATGACAATATTGACAACCGGAAACCAGTGATAAGAAGGAGTGATATTGATACAGATGAAATACAAACCGGAAGTGACATCGATGCTGGAGAAATACAAGCAGGAATTGACATTAATGCAGGTGAAATTCAAGCTGAAAGAATGTATGCTGATGTTATAAAAGCAAATCAAATGCATGCACACAGGATAATAGCAGATAATGTTGTTGTTTCTGCAAAATATCGCGACTTGTGATCACCGAAGAACATGCAATAACCGCACCTGTTGTGGAACAAAACAAAGTATTATATTACTAACTACTGTCATCAAGTCCATCATTCATCTTATAATAAAATAAGACATACGACTAATTTGTCTTTATTTGATACAAAACATACTTATAAACCATGAATCAATGCAAATTTACAAATAGAACATAAAAATCGCAAACAAAACTATTATAAATTCTCAAAAAGAAAACGTCGAGAATTGCATTTTCTATCCTTTATTTGCCACTGCAATCGAGCTTCATCTCAAAAGTTTAGTCCTATAATATAAGCCTTGGTAGGTCCATATCGTTTGCTTTCAACGTTTGTTTTTTTTATCGGATATTTTTTTTACTATCAATGCTGAGCCACCAAGTATTATCGGAAGTCACTATATATATATTTTCTCGTAGCAAATTCCAAACGTTTTTTTGTTGGAACTTTGAACGACCATTTAAAAATGTGTTCAACGGTCTCAAGTTTACTACTGTCATTATTATTATTATTATTATAGATAAACGTCTAGAACATTAAAAAAAATGTTTTACCTTATCAGATAGTGGAGGTTTATTCTATATTTGAATCGCTTTTCTAACGGTTCCCCCTCATTTCGAATTGTCAAGCGGATCACGTACGAGACGTTCCGAAGTCTTTCCGAATGAATAATCAGTTATATATATTTCAGAACACTCCTTGGAAAACGAATTTGTTTTTTGCGTGTGGATGTTAACGATCGACTGGTGATATAAATTATTTCTGAGGTCTTCATGAATGAATTAACCAGCCAATTGTCAAATATTTCTTAATACTAAGGGGGCGACCATATAGTATTCATAAAAGGGGAGTAAGATGATTATGTAAATGAATACTCTGTCCTGGTTATAACAGGAATTATATGATAATTTTGCCCAAGACAGGTGAAAAATGAAGTAGCTGTCCTATGAAAATACAGGACAATGCTTGAAATAACTATATACATGAATGATATGGTCTAAGGGGTATGAACAGAAGTTATTCAATATTTTAATTGAGACAATGCACGTTTGTTTTTTTTTTTATTAGAAATTGTTAAATCTCTTTAATCTGTACGTATTATGCAGTTAATGCACAGTTCACATGTCAAATGTAAAGTAATAAACTGTAAATTGTTATTGATTCTAGGAATAATTCCATCTATACTACAGAAACCTTTCATACTTCATTTTATACGAATCCACGAGGAAGTGAATATTTCATGTAAGGATATTACATGAATTACGCAAAGCAATATATAGAATCCTGCCAGTTTATGCACTACATGCAAAATATTTTTCAAAAAGTTAGCAAATAGCGGACAATGATTGTAATATTTCGATCCAGCCATGACACAGGCGCTTTAAACTTTAAGATTGGACTCCCGCCATGACACAGGCGCTTTAAGACTAGACTCCCGCCATGCCAAAGACGCTTTAAAACTGGACTCCCTTTTTTTTTTTTTTTTTTTTTTCTTATTTATATATTTACAGACTTAAAGTAAAATTTCCTACAAAATTATTTTCCCGTTTTCTTGCTGTTTTATTTACGAGTTCACAATATCAGTATTTTTAAGCCCATCTACTCTTATTTTCTACTGACATCGCCTAAAACAACACTGATATTGTTAAATCGTAAAGCTAATTGCAAATAAACGTTGAAAATGGGCAAAACAGTTTAAATACTAAATGTGGGGTAAACTTCAATCAGACAACAATCCAACGATTAACATATTTAAAGAGAGAAACATACGATTAGACGTTAATAGATTCAAATAATTCCAAATCAAGCTATACATGCAGTTAATAAACCCAATTTATTTTCTTCTCTAAATAAAGTAACCATTAAAGAGAAAGCCTTAAAGTAATAATGGTAATAATTTAAAAGTTACCAACCTTTTTTAAAACCGATTTTTCTCGTTTCTTCATCCAAGTGAAATATCCCAGGTGTTGTTAGGCATCAACATATATTAATTACCAGCTGTGAGAGGGGCCAAGGCGATAAATAGCTTTCCAAATACGAGTTCATACAACGGTGATGAGCGAGCCAATCTGTCAAATTCGTTTCATTCATGCATTCTTGAAAATATAGATTCGGCACATGTTTGAAAAAAAATGATGAGATGAAAAATGTTTGTCTGCTGAGGATAAAATAGGATGAATTAGGAACATAATACTGCAATATAAATACGGATTTAGATATTATTTTCATTCATTTTAATTACTGCTATAAGTTTTATTAGTCTAGGCAGTGGGTTATAAGTTTAAAAAAAAAAAAAAAAGGGCTAAGAGAAAATACCGACTTTCGACTTTGTGGTTCAGCATTGCTAGTAAAAAATAAATATCCTATAAAATACGTAGAAACCAAACAATATGGACCTACAAAGGCTTATATTATAGGACTACTCAAAATATGTAACGTCACAGTACCCAATTCACAAATTGCACCCATTTCGCAAAAATAACAGCGGAAATCTTGCAAATTTTCTTAAGAGACTTAACAATTTGTATTTTTATTATTTGACATTATGCACGTCTATCAACATAGCTAAATATATTTAAATATACACAAAACGTCCGCATTATACATCAATAGATGAAGTATTCACTGGAAAAAGTAAAATCTCCGCAAACGTCGCAATGCGACGTCTACAAAAAGTGAATCTTTAAAAATGAGCAATTTAGATATGCTACAGGCGTCCATTTCTTAAAAATGAATACTAAGCATGGACTATTGTCAAATTGTTCTACATATTTGAAAAAAATTAACAAAACATCATCGTTTCGATTTTTACGGATGTAAATGTAAGCATGAATGCAATTTGGGTACTCATCAATAAAGAATCAAGTCTTGTTTTGAGGTCGGTTTAAACCCATTTTTCCTAAGATTTGATAAGGATTAAAAATTTAATTGGTGGAAAAAGAGAAGCGAAGGATACCAAAGGGACATTCAAACTCACAAGTCGGAAATGAACTGAAAATGCCATGGCTAAAAAGGGGGAGGGGGTGATGGGGGTGATATCAGGTGCTACGGAAAGGTAAGCAGATCCTGCTTCACATGTGGCACCTGTCGTGTTGCTCATGGTAGTACAAACCCGATAATAAGTCTAATTCGAGGGATAAAGGGACGGGATTGTAGCTACGACAATTGAGCATATCTGTTGTCAACAGTGAAACGGATATTCCATAACGGTCAACCAACTCGTGTTTGCGTCCGTAACGAAGGGACGATTTAATCTTCACCACTTGGAACTTTTGGTTAAATAGCTTTTTTTTTAGCATCAACCCTCCATCAAGGAAATCATGATAGGAAATACAAGCCCGGGAATATCGTATCAACTGGGAGATATATACTCCGTATGCAGGTGCTGCTGGAATGTTGCTACATAGAAATGGAAAGTTCACAATTTGGAAGCTGAAATCATCTCTTTTGTCGTAAAGTGTTGTTTTCAACCGACCATCACTGTCAATTTCTATATGTTAGTCAAGATATGAGGCAGACTTAACTGCATGTATCTATTGTATCCTTTATCTCAAGTTCGATGGGATAGATGCGTTCAACAGAGTCCGCAAATTTTGAATTACTTAGAGAGAGAACATCATCTATATAGCGAAAAGTGAGGTTAAAGGATACTTCTAACCCTAACCCTAACCATAAACATAACCCTTAACATTAAATTGGTGGAACTATATAGAATTGAGGATACATCTACAAAATAAACACAGAGTGGAAACTTTTGTCTGGATCATGAATAAAGGTAAATAAAAAAAACTGTCTAAATAGGTGCAATTTGGGTACCCTCAAGTAACATGTAAAATAGTCGTTCATCTGTTTTTAATTCTACATATGGAAAGGGGAGTGGGGGGTGGGGTGGGGGTTGTGAACAACTATGATTTTCCTTCTTTTTCTCTTAGTTTTAAGTAGAAAAAGCGGCAAATGTCATATTTGTCAGTATAGTCGAGAAGGCGATCGCTGTTTTTCTGTTCAAGATTACGTCAGTCCAGAAATGTAAACATTACGGCAAGGAACTATTTTCTTGCTGTTACGGTCTTTTTCTGTAGATATTTACAATTTAATGCAATGTTTATGTCATTTTCAACAAATGTACATGCTAAACAATTGTTTGCAAGTCTACTTCTTCTTGAAGGTAGCATAATATTAAAAATCATCACGGATAGCTGACCATAGGCATAGCCTCAGACTAAACACTAAAACAGCAAGGCTTGTAAAATAATTAAACGATCTCTTCTGCATCCAGACCCAAGAACAGTTGTATGAAGAAGTATATTTCTTAAACACAATAAATGAAATATAAAACAAATCACCTGCATTATTTTAACAGCGTAGATCTAGGCATATTGCAGCTGGGAAAAGGGGGGGGGGTTACAGAATAAAATAGATCAACATATACACCCTTTAAAATATGGAAAATTTTAATGTAGGGTGTCTTGTTTAAATTTGTATTACAGGATCAGACTTCACATAATTAACCTTATTCAACAGGGTCTCAGACTAGAAAATATATATTGGTCCATTGGTCCCAGCATGGACTTGTCAATTTATTTACAGTTATATTAGTATACTAGGTCCAAGGTCCCAGAAAGGACCAAATCATTTCATGTAACTTTAAAATATTCAGTTACATTGTGTAATGTCATCTCCCTATTTGCTAATAAATGCATATAAAAAATCAAATAAATAAATTTAGAAAGTGTATGAAAAATAATAAAGTATAATATTTTTTAAAGTAGCAGCATATATATTATTTTCATAAGATTTATTAAAGCTATTCATACCTTCATGAGCATTTGGCTGGAAACAAGAGTTTATTTGATTTAAGGGAGGCCTGACATAAAAAATTTATATTATCAGCTATGACATGTGTTTTTTAGATTTATTTATTTATTTTAAAGAATTCTTCAGTATATATTTAATTTGACATTGTCAAAATTTATCAAGACATTGGACCTGTGCATTAGATGGGACAAGTATTTTTTCCAAGTATCAACGCATGGGCTTTAATTTTTTCCTTTAGATGTTCATTGAACATTTTTTAACCAAATTTGTTGAGCTAGGTTACATTTCAAAT